GGCTCCAGCCTGAGCCTCAATGTCTACACAGCAATTTTTAGCCCCAGTTTTGGGTAAATTCCTGCTCAGATCCAGGCTGTAGCATGTCCAGTGCAGACAGAAAATCTTCTGGGAATTTAGGTGTTAATATCTAAGAAGTCTCTAATGAGCATATGTAAACTGCAATTTTTCCCCAAGGTCAAATGTGAGCAGATTCTCACTCACAAGGATGGCAAAAGGCATCTCGCTGATACACAGGCCAGCCCCTGCCAGATTTCAAGTCCCATCTCCAAAGTGTTCTTGTGCTAGAGGTTTTCAAAGAAAAGCTCGCCAGAATATTTGAACAGGGGCATAACAACTTATTTTTCTAGCCTCATCCTTGGAGGTGGCTGAGCCATTTTGGCTGAAATTCTCCAAAAAAATTAAGCCTGAGGCAGACACCTGCCATGTAAAATTCCAGCCCAAACAGTTCAAGATAGGCAAAGTTATAAACAATGTAAACAGGGTCTTACTCTGTGAAGTGTTGGGCAACTTGAACAATAGGTTAAGAATACCATCCCTGCTTGTAATATGTGTATGTAGCTTTGTAAACATGCATGGTGTTTTACAAGCCAATAAAAGATGATCCCTGATGCAAAGAGGTTAGTCTACCTAGACAAGACAGTATGCTGTAACAGCTTCTGGAAACCCCCTCAGAGCTAGTCAGTCTCCGCATCAGTGCAGGTTTTGGTGGAAAGTTACAACCATGATGCTGCTCAGTAGTGATAGCCATGCTCTTCCAACTATGATGCTGGTCAGTAGCAATGGCTGCCCTCCTTCTAAAAGCTTCCACCCCCGATTTTGCCCTGAAAGGCTTCTGTCCAGCTAAGGGAAAGCTGGTAACTCCTGTCTTCCAATAGATAGTTAGTTATATTCTTGATGCTTTTGCTGTGTCTGAAACTGAAACCAGGAACTGATTTACATTTTGATAATACTTTAACAACTGTAACTATGCAAATTAAAGAACCATTAGACTTCAGGAGTTTGCGAAGCAAAGCTGTGTGCCCAGTGTTTATTTGCATGCCACAGCTGTGTTGTGTCTTCTGGGTTCCTGCAGTTTCTTAGCCATGCTGATATCTGAGCTCTGGATATAAACCAAAAGGTTTGGTAGAGCATCCAGTTATGTTCATGGACACATTCTGCCAAGTACTTCGCAAGTGAGAAGTCGTGCCAGACTTTCTGCATTGCTAGGCTCTACTCCTTTGCGAATGTGCAAACTTGAGCTGCTTAACAAAGCTTCACAAAACCTAGTGTTAATAGCTGTGCATCTATCTACCAGTCTCTTGCAGACCGACAGCAGCAGGAAGAGGAGACCTATGCAGATGCATGTGATGAATTCCTTGATCCTATCATGAGCACTTTAATGTCTGACCCTGTGCTGCTGCCATCTTCCCGAGTCACCGTGGATAGGTCAACTATAGCCAGGCATCTCCTCAGGTATTCGAGAAGAGTTAATGGTGTCTGAGTGAGGAGTTAGTGATTCACTAAGGGTTTGCTGGGGAGGGGTTGGTAAGTGTTTTTGCTCTCAGAGATTCAGGCAAGACCGAGTGGACATCCCCCATGTATGCATACAGTCTCCTTTCCAAATTTCAAGAGTCTAGGCTCTTAGCTTTGTTATATTTGGAACTGGCTTTGTAATCCATCTTTCTCTCAAAAGCTAACCATTTATCTAGCTGTGTGCAATTTTTGTGTCCTGGACCCTGTGGAATTCAGCTTTCTGAAACTTACAAGTTGCATCCATGTCCAGATTTGCGCAGACGAGACTCATGTTTTTTGATGGAATAAAGCACATGAGAGGTGCTCAGGCCTACAGACTGAAGTGTGTGTGTGTGGGGGGGAGATTAATACTTTTTCTTTTATTTAAAGGTGATTTCAACATTGGGGAAACTGCAGGTTTCAGGTTTCACCCTGGTTTGTTCAAAAGTCAGTGGATAGGTTGGACAGCTTAGTGAGTACAGATAAAATCCAGAAATGTCTTCCAATAAAGCATGAGATTGCTTTTTTCATCCAAATAGTAGCACATTTCAGTCTGTCTCTAAGTAATTATCTTCTGTGTGTTAAGAGTCAGAGGTTTGCTAACTGATCTGGGTTGTGGTTTAAGTTTTCTCTAAAGCACTGTTGTATACTCTGGTACTTGTGCTTACCGTGAACCTGTTCTGCTTTCCTTGAAATTTTAGCCCCAAATGTACCACTGAGAATGTGAATGATGGTGTCATTTCTGAAGGGTCAGTCTTCTGGGGGATGTTTGGGTGAAGCCTAATGGTTATACCTAGTGGCTCATTGTCCACAGGCAGGTCTGATTCACTTGAAGGAACAGGGGCTGTGCCAGTCTCTGGTCCTTGTTTCTTGGCTTCATAACATTAGTTTTTAATCATAGGACAGTACTGTCAGAGAATGAGTCTCCTTGACTTTTCCTCTCTTTCTTATAGTGACCAGACAGATCCTTTTAATCGGAGCCCCCTCACCATGGACCAGATCAGACCAAACACAGAACTGAAAGAGAAGATCCAGCAGTGGCTTGCAGAGAGGAAAAAGCAGAAGGAGCAGCTGGAGGACACACTGAAATGAACAAACGAAAAAACATCCTGACACAAATGAACAATAATTTGTTTGCAAGAGAGTGAAGTCCCCTTGCAGAGACAATGGCTGGTGCTTCAGAGAACCTGTGAATCAGCACTCTGTCCCCAAGATTGCATTTCGTGCATTGCCACTAGACCAGGAGCCTCTTGTTTAGGCCCTTCCTTTTATCCCCTTCTACTTTTTGTTTCTTTCCATTAAGATGTCTCAATAATATCAGAAACCTCAACTGCACTACAGTTTCTCAGCCCAAGAATCCTAAGTCCCTTCTTGCTCTGTTGGCCACTGGTTAATTTTCTTCTGTTTGTTCTTCACAGTGTTCACTGTTCTTAATGACTGTCATGTCACACATCTCAGCGGCTGTCAGCCACCACCAACAATCTCTTCCTTGTGACTGTTTCCTCTCTGTTACTGCTGCTTTAGCTCCAGACTTGTTTAAACTATGTAATGTTCTATCATATGATGATTAATGTGAAAAAAAACCTTTGTTCACAGCAGCTCTTAAATTAGAGGCTTGTGAGGATGGAAGAGGTTCTCTTATGCAATTTTGTCTGTAAATATTGGTTGTGTACAAGGGTTTGTGTTCAGCATGGTACATGGCAGTGGGGCAGCACTGAAATCAAAACATTTAGAACATTATATAAAAGTTGGATGTGAATCTCTTAGGGATAGTTGGATGATGTAGCCGCTGCTATAACAAAACTCTCACTGGGACGAGGGAGGTCGTGCTGGAAAAACATGATACTGGTTTTAGAAAAGCTTCTCACTTGGCTGTTGGGGACAGCTAATCTGTTACCTGCTGTTTTGCTCAAGGGGCAACCATGCAGGAACTTGACATATCCAGACACACAGGACAAGCTGTTCTCTAATTAGGGTTCCTTGAGTCTCCACATCATTTAAATTAACCTTAATTAGTAATGACCATCTGCTAGGTTTGAGAGCCTGTTGAAAACGGCACTGTCTGTGCATAGACTGTATACATATTCATACAAGTACACTATAAATCCTGCCTACATTTATACTGTACTTTGTGCATGTTAATATGTACCCAGTGTGTATATATACTTAGACACATGCTTTATCAATAAAAATGTCAAGCTTCAAGTTTCTTTGAAGTGCATATTTGGTCTTAAGATGAGCTTGTTCTGAATGGGGGATCTGGGGCAGGTATAACTCCTCTCACTCAAGTGACACTTTATCTCTGCTGTTGTATACAACTATTAAGCTGATTTTTCCCTAGCTGATCATAACCATACCCTTCTACTGGGGACATGTCTGCAACAAGAAGTGCAGAAACAGCTGAAATTTTTATAATGAAAACTAAGAGTGAAGCTTGGGCTTACTGTGCAGGTTACCTTAAAGAATCAGTTAAAATGAGCCTACTAGATAAGACCTTAAAACATAAGGATCCTTCCCAGAGGGTCATATGTATATGCACTCATGCAAACCTAGGAATACCAGAATTTGAGGCTAAATAAATAGTTTAATATATACGTTTTATTCTTGAGGGGCAGGTGTGTGTTGGTTAGTTATATTTATGCATGAGGTAGGCTTACTACTCAGCTTGTGGGAAGAGGGGGTTTTCCGCTGGGAGGGAGGGAGTACTACAGGGATGGCTATCCAGGGCAACAGGCACAAGGCAGCCTCCACAAAAATCATTCCTTATTTTTCTATCTCCAGCCTAGCAACAGGTTTCTAGTTCAGAGGACTTCACCAAGATGGTCACTGAGACTTGCTATAATTGTTCTTTCCTAAAACAAAACATGGTGTAGTGTTTACCTAGCTCAGGCAGTGATACGTTCATTACAAATGCCTTAGAGCCATTGAGAACACAAATGGGAAGAAATGGGGGAGTCTGAGAGTGCTAAATCATGAAAGTGGTAGGATTTAATCTTAAATTTTTCAAGTACCCTTGAGAGGGGGCAAGCGTTTTGGAGGCTAATCCCAAAACTGTAACCAGCATGACTTGCTTCTTGCAAACTGTGCGAACCTCTCCATGGGGTTTCTCGCTGCTGGCAACACTGCCTGGGGGGGCTGCCCCAAGGGCACCGCGTGCCGCAGGCGTTAGCTCGCTGGCCTGGCCGGCAGCCCAAACCCTGCTGGCTGCAGCGAGAGGGCTGGTAGGGCCAGCACGTGGGCAGGGACACAGGAGCTTCTGCAGGAGGCTTCTGCGCCTGCGCCGCTCTGGCTCCCTCGAAGAGACCAGCTTTATGTTGCGCGTGAGCAGCCGTTCATGGCCGATAGGTGGCCTTGGCGGGCGCCTGATCAAAATGTTGACTCTGAACGGGGAAGAAAATGACGATTCCCCCCCCCCTCCGCCGCCCCTCCCCGCAGGGCTGGGAGTGCGTACGGGCCGTCTGGGGGCGTAGCGAGTGGCGGCGACGTTAGGCGCTGCCCGGGCAGCCCTGACGCAGGGGGCCTTGGGGGGTCCTGCTGTAGGTGACATTCAGGCTCCGGCTCCTTCTTCGGCCGCTGCAGCTGCCGCGCGCCGGTTCCGCCATGGCCCAGGCCGCCCAGAGGCTGATCCAGCGCGTCGCCACCAAGGGCCCGCAGCTAGCGAGCGGTGAGAGCGGGCCGGGGCCGGGGCCGGGGCCGGGCGGCAGCAGCCTGGCCAGCCCTGCCCCTTCCGCGCGGGGAGCGCTCGCTGCCCCGGTTAGTCCGGTGTGAACGTGGCCGCCGCGCCCAGCGCGGGGGGACCCGGTGTGGCCTGGCGCGGGGCGCGGCCTAGCTCGGGGGCGGGCGGGCGGGAGCCCGGGCCGGGCCAGGCCGCCAGGCGGACTCTGAAACCTCGTGTGCGTATTATGATCTTTTTTTGTGGTCGGTTTATCTGGGGTCTGGACCTTGGCCAAGAAATTTGGGACTTGGCAAAATAATTCACGACCCCGGTCGAAGTTGTGAGCGCATCGCCAGGTGTTGGCTCCGTGGGAGGCTTGGCTGGACGGCCTTTGTCCCTGGATTGGCCCACCCGTGTCAGAGGGTCGAGGCCTCTACTTCCTTTTACTTTCTTCGGTTGCAAGAAATGGGTTTTTGTCATTGTCCAAGTGACTCTCTCTCTCTCTGTACCTTGTAGCCGCATATTTTTAGCTTAAGAAAAAAGAAAAGCTGAAAGTGAACACTAAGTAGCTAAAAGAACAGGAGGACTTGTGGCACCTTAGAGACTAACACATGTATTTGAGCGCAAGCTTTCGTGAGCTACAGCGAAAGGCTACATCATACTGTTGTTCAGTGTCAGTGAAAAGGGAAAACTAAACAACCGAGAAACTTGGCTATTGCAAGATTTTGCAGGATTGTATTGATGACAAAATCTGAGTTTGCAGTAAGTAGTTACTAAATGCTAAGGGGTGGGGAAGAATAACCATAGACCAATTTCAGTTTATATCTATGATAAAGAGAATTTTTTTTGAAGTATAACTCCTCTTCAGATTAATACTTCTCAGAGGGCTTTATGAAGTAAGGTATTTTTCCTATTTTAGTGATATAAAACTGAGGTACAGATATGAAGTGACTTTCAAAGGTCATGCAGTAGAGTCCATGTATCCTTTTCCAGTTCAATACTTTATCACATGGGCAAGTAAACAAAAATGGTGGAGAGAAAACGAGCTTATTATGAGCCTTTTAAATGTAAGGCCCATGTCTGTCAAGGCATTCCAGTTGTAATGGGGAAAGGGGTTAGAGGCAATTGATCAGATGCTTAATAGCCATATTTCCAGATATACTGAGCACCTGTAAATCTCACTGAAGTCTGAGAGGAGTGAGTGCTTAATACTTTCTGAAATCAGGCCTTTCCACCATAAGATGGATCCTCACAACATCCTCCTTCTACCCAAAAGAAACCAACCAATCCCAAACCACCTGAAATAAACCAATTTTAACCAAAACAGTAAATTAACAAAAAAAAAAAATTAAAAATCAATCAGAACCCCCTCCCCCAAAAAAGGGGGGGACATGGCAGTGATTCCATTAAGTCTACTATGGATTTTGCTATTACCAGCTTTACATGTAAGGTGCACAGATACTGTGGTGATGAGCAGCAGTATAAAACAAAATTAGAACTGCTGTTCCCCTGCTCCTACACCTGTATCTTTAAAGACAAAGATTGAGATGTACAGGGTGCACTAACTTTGGTTCCGATATTTGATGTTAGGATGTAGTGATAAGGGAAATGCTGTGTGGTGCAGGATGTGGTGGACTGTGAGCGTAATGGATGTGACAGATAGCTATGAAATAGGGAATCAGGATAGTGAGTTGCTAATAGCAAATATATAAACTTTGTTTTTGCTAACAAGCTGTATCAGCTCTTAAGAATTCTGCCTGTTCCTCCTCTTGTTTTTTGTTCTGTGCTAGTCTTGATACCAACTTTATCTTGTACTTTTGGGTCTTTCCACTTGTAGATATCTCAGCCAGTGAGAGCTTTGTAATTACAATGCAGCTTTGCCTATATTATCTGAGATTCTTTTCCATATGAAATATATGGTCTACTCTGTAATAGGTTTTCATTTAAAAATACTGCAATCTGCCTGTCCAGCTGGGGAGAGTATCTCTAAGAGCAAAATGAAGTGTCTTGAAGAAGAATCAAAATAGACAAGGCATGACCTATTAAGGGCCAAGAAATATTAAGGGTATTAAATATGAGGTTGTCATTAACAAAACTTCTTTTACTTCTGTGAGTTTAAAATAAGTGGTTCTGTTGGCGTAGTATCAAACTACTTCACAATATCCACAACTGAAAATGCCTCAACTGTTGAAGGGTAAAGGGCATAGACTATATAGGCTAGACTCTAGGTTGAACATCTTTTGAGGTTTGAAGACCTTGGCTATACTCTAAATTGTGCTGCAAAACAACTATCCTGGCAGTTGAAGAAAGCATGGGATTTGGTGTAAGGGCTTTCAGTGGAGCAAAGGCCCTTGACTTTGGAATTCACTTTCTCAGTTGGTCTAACAGACTGAATTTTTGATCTTTTGGGTGCAGTGCAGAGTGTCTGTCTCTTTTTCTGAAACTTTCACTTTATGCTGGGTTTAATTTGGAGGGTGGGTTTCCCCCTTTGAATTACTAATGTACAAGCATCCAATTGCACTCAGAATGCTTTTGTAAATTTAAAAATATTGATTTTATCAAACATATGCTGAATTGAAGGTCATTTATTCTAAAACAAAAGATGGAATCTACCTTCATGAGCAAAGACTTCATTCAGCTGTGATTATGGAGACTGGAGAATTTCCACCACAGTGTTAATTACTCTAATAGTAGAGAGAGAGGGTGTGTACTGAGACATGTATGAGAGATGTAGTTTGCAGGCCACATAGATTGAAGTTTACCTAATGTTTTAATTCTTTTGCACCATATAGAGCATAATTGTCAGTAGTTAAACTCTTTTGTGTTTAAATGCTCTCAGCCTATGCAGGGATATTGTCTTAGGTGTAGAATGCTGCAGGAGTTCTGATTGATTGAAACAATAACATTGTTTTCATATTACCACTTCTGCAACTTTTGGGGAGAGGTAGTTGTGCTGCCTAACTAGGAAAAGCTTAATAAAACCTGTTTCAACAAGCCCATCAATGGCTGTTAGCCAAGATGGTCAGGGATGCAACCTCATGCTCTGGGTGTCCCTGGTCTCTGAGTGCCAGAAGCTGGGAGTAGACAACAGGGATCACTTGATGATTGCCTGTTCAGTTCTTTCCTTCTGAAGCACTTGGCATTAGTTACTGTCGGGAGACAGGATACGGGGCCAGATGGCCCATTGGTGTGACCTGATATGGCCGTTCTTATTAAAATGGTTTGACTAGTTTAATTCTAACATCTAATTATTCATGCTTCCAATGTTGAGGCATGACATCTTAAGAATAGGAGCAACTAAAATGTTCCCTTAGAAGATTTTTATTAGTTAAAGTCCATAACACACTCTGCTGGCAAAGAACAGTGATGATATTTATCTTCTTTTTCTAATCATTATCTGGCAACTTAAATTTGTAGCTAATTGACTGACAATTCACAACCAGCTGGTAGAACTAGGTACTGACCTGGGTTCATCACATGATAAACTTTTTCATACAGGCTTCCTTGAATGGCTGAGTTCCTAGTGATACACATGTTCTGTACCTTTAATGTTGTATACAGCCTGCTTAAGTGGATTTGGATGTTGGGAGCACATTAGACCAATAATCTCCCCTGGCTTCAGTAAGCTTTGGAGTGGAATGCCAGGTGTTCATTTTCACCTAAAAACCCTTCAAGGTTTGGGACCTGGTTACTTGTGAGACTGCCTCTCTCCTTGTGAGGTGCTGCCACGGTTGAGATCAGAAGAGGTGCTTGAGCTGGAGCTTCCTCAGTATAAATGAGTGAGCTTCTGGCAGGGTATTCTGTGAGGAGTCTTTGATATTTGAAATCATCATCCCACACCTGGTCGGCCAGAGTCCAGATCTGTTAACCTTCTGAGCCTGCTGCTAAATCCACTTATTTCACCTTTCTAAGTTTGAGGGTTTGGGCAGTGGTGGATATATTTATGGGCAGTCCTTCATGTTCATATTGTGACTTTTAATTAATTAATTAATGGAATAGGCAGCCAGAGCACTGGATGGTTGGTTAGAGCTGTATTTTTAAAAATTAAATAAATGCTCATTACCAAGGAGCAGCTCTGACTCTTGAGACTGGGTGCATGTTTGGTGAAAGCAGGAAATGAATGTGATGCATGAATAAATATTTGTGTCCAGCCCACACATCTGTTTCTTTTAGCCTCCAGTGGATTCATCCTGGTATTTTTCTCTTCCAGCTGCTGTGACTTACTCCAGGCCTCGTTTGGCCACATTTTGGCACTATGCCAGGGTTGAGCTGGTTCCTCCAACCCCCGCTGAGATCCCCAAGGCCATTGACAGCATGAAAGCTATGGTCAAAAGCTTTCAGTCTGGTCACCTCGCACAGCTCACAGTCAAGGTAACTGCAGGCTAAATAAGAACGGATGTGAATAACAGAAGCATGTTTCCCCTGGGGTTTCTCCAGCCATGCTGGTTAACACATTTTTAGCTGGGCTACATCTAGCAGCATAAAAAGCAGCCCAGAAAGTGACTTGTGCTTGCTATTTGGACTGACAAGTTGTTGATAAAGCCAGGCTGAACCTGTGCTCTCAGTGAGCTCATTCTGTGACAAAAAAGAAGTTTGACTGGACAAACATCACTTCTGCCTCATGGTGGCTTTTTCCCTAGTGAGTTTTTATACACATTTTAGTATGGCCAGCTGTTGATCTTTCCATTTGGTGTGGGCAGCTGCCTTATTGTCAAAGGGACTTCTGAATGCACTGTCACACTTCTAATAGAAATATCAACGTAGCCAGCCCAGCATGTAGTGTGGTATGAAGGGATATTGGATAATTGACTAGTTTGGAATTGCTGCTTGACCTTTGCAATAACAACCAAAAGCTTAAGGCTAGTTTTAAAACACTGCTACCTTCTACAGTGCAAAGAGGAGGGGTGGGGGTATGTTCTGTTCCTGCTAAGGCAGTGGTTCTCAAACTATTGTACTGGTGACCCCTTTCACATAGTAAGCCTCTGAGTGTGGACCCCCCCTTATAAATTAAAAACACTTGTTTATATATCTAACACCATTATAAATGCTGGAGGCAAAGCAGGATTTGGGGTGGAAGCTGACAGCGCGTGACCCCCCCATGTAATAACCTCGTGACCCCCTAAGGGGTCCCGACCCCCAGTTTGAGAATCCCTGTGCTAAGGGCTGTAACTCTCTTTTGGGTTTGGCTCATAGATCCATTTTTTTTCCCCTAAAATATTCTATCCTTAATAAGAATGTGGGCATTGACAGGCTGGATCAGACCAGTAGTTCTCCTAGTCCAGGATCCTGTCACTGATGGCGACAAGTACTAGATACTTAAGAGGAAGGTGCAAAAACCTAGAGTTGGGTAGCTATGTGATAACCTGTCCCATGGAAAGTTGCCTTCTAACTCTTAGTTTTTAGATAGCGCCTTATTCCCTTCCCAACTCTTGCAAATATCTGTTACAAATTTGAATATTCATGTCACCCATGTAAATAGCTCTGTCTCAATTAGTTTTTTAACTTGCTGCTTTTCAGTTTCATTGAATGTCCCCTTGTTCTTGTATTGCATAATGGGGTTAGCCTCCAGGCGCTTCTACAATATAAATAATAAAGCAAGGTCCAACAAACCAGTAATTTCTAGGCCCCTTTTCCAACTAGAATACCCCCTTCTTGATCTGTAAAGTCATTCAGTAATAGACTTCTTTCCCTTAGGAATGGGAGTGCAAAATGAAGACTAGTTCTCTGAACTTATTACCTGCCGATCTGGTTCTTTAATTGCTGAGTCCAGGTCTTCTGATGGATGCCCCTTTAACGCTTCACATTTAAATCTCTCTTCCTGAAGTTACCTCCAGCATTTTGAAAACCTTGTTCATTTATATAGTGTCAGTCTTCAAAATAACTTTTTAAATAAAAATGGGTCGTCTCTGCTTCAGAATTAGCTAAAAAGCAGAGGTCTGATCTTATGATCCTGAAGCATCGCACGTCTGCTGCATGTTTCTCTGGAGTCTGGCAGATACAGTTTAAGAGCTGCAGGTATTTTGTGTTCAGGGTAATATTTTCCAGGAACTTATTGAACCACTGGCATCCTAGCTTAAAAACCAATAGAGCTGTTGTCATTAAGGAGTGAAACACTTGGAGAATTTGTAGGTTAAGTGTTGAATAGCATTTTTAATGTAACAGTTTTTCATTTCTTAATCCTACCACTTCTAGTAGAGCATAGATGTTTTTTTGGCAGCCGGCTTTTCTTCAACATCCATTCACGTGACTCAAATGTCAATAGGTACCAGATCTGCCCACCAGTACTGAACAGCTATTTCATAGGTCTAGTGTATTGCTTGGCACTAAAACTTGGATGGTCTTTTCAGTATTTATGCTTTACAGTATTCTCTTTGAAGGGCTCTGACAGCTAAGCTGTAAGACTTGAGCACACTTTAGTATGTACTATGATTGCTTGGGTGGGGGAGAGTAAATTGTTAATAGCATTCTTTGCTTTAGCTAAAGATGCTACCTCATTAACATGGGTGGCTTTCTTGCCATCACAACCAAACTTTGTGTATGGTTAACAAAGCAAAGGGAGACGTTACTGCAATAGCAAACATTCTAAATTGTGGCTTTCTTTCTTTCAGGAAGCTCTGAGGAACGGTTTGGTGGCCACAGAGGTGCTGATGTGGTTTTACATCGGTGAGATCATAGGCAGAGGCAGCCTGATTGGATACAATGTTTGAAGACTAATCTTTAGTAGTCTTATGTTTCACTTTTTTGTCTCCTAAGTCTGTAACAGTATTTGACAAAATAAAACCAGGAAATGATGTGGAGTTGTGGTGGTCTCTGTTAGTGGTGTTTACAGTGTGAGCTTGCCATCCTGTTAGCATTGCCAGCTGTGCAGAAAGGATCAGTTAGTATCTAGCTGCGTGGAGGCCATCCCTCTTCAAGCATTACCACACAAGGAAATAGTTATACCCCTGTGCTGCTTTCATAACACTTGAAAATGTGCATCTTTTACCATACCAGGTTAACTTGGATTGAAACTTTTTTTTTCTGGTCATTTAGGACTAGTGCTTGGGAATGTCTACTGGCTATGAAACCCTTTTGTTTGGTCTGCTAAAGTGTTTATAGCTGGGGATTGTGATCCTCAGATCTGTATCACACAAGCTGCATTTTTTTATTTTGTTGCTGACAGTTTTAGCAGCAGATGTTGCAGAAACAGTAGAAGCCAGTGCTTTAAACCACGAGACAGCAACTTGGCACCCCAGATTTATCAAATGGTATAAAGCATTTTCTTTAATTCTACCAGGCTGAGTTAAAATATGTCAGGTATACGTAAAGAGCTGGAAAAAGAAGGTAATCCGAATAGGCCTCTAAAATCTTACTTCACAACCCGATAGGTACAAGTCATCCAATAATCAATAGCCTTGCTGTGTTCATCTGAGAGGCTTTCTGAGATACAAGTACAAAAACTTCCTCACTGTGTGATCTAACCCATATGGTTAATTCTACAAACTGTACCTTTCCCTACTTGTTTTAAAATCAGGCAGAATGCTTGATAACAGCACTATCTGTTTGATGGGACTTATTCTTTACTATTTATATTGCCATAGAAAATAGTTTCTATTAAAAAAACAAATCAGCTGCTTTTCCTTCTTTTAGCAAGACTAGTAGTGGCTCAACTTAAAAACACCTGTTAAGCCTTCTGCAACCAGGCATGACTGCTAGTCAGATAGAATGGTGACAAGTTTCAGAGTAACAGCCGTGTTAGTCTGTATTCGCAAAAAGAAAAGGAGGACTGGTGGCACCTTAGAGACTAACCGATTTATCTGAACATAAGCTTTCGTGAGCTACAGCTCTAGTACTCCTAGTACTAGTGGCCACTAGTACTCCTTTTCTTAATGGTGACAAGTGTTTCTCTCCATCAGAACTTCATTTAATACATGGCTTCACTGGACAAAATCCAGCCTCTTCCAAAGTAAAGATATAGAACAAAGCATAGCTTCTGTTCCTTAGCAGGATCTCTAGGCTGTGAGGTTACAGTATTGGTAGAAAAACATGATTCATCTTAAGTTTGCTGGCTCTAGAGCTTAGCACCTGACCTGTGCATAAATAGAAGATATTGGCTTACACTGCTAATAACTCCATGAGCACAAAAGTTCATTAGCAAGGACAGAGGGAACAAGCACTGAATTTCCAACAAACTTCTGCTGAAATGGGCATGTAATTTCCACTACTTCATCGCTAAAGAAAACAAAGTAGGGGCTCTCTTCTCTACATCCAACAACACTATACTTGCCGTGAAACTGGGTATTACACGTACTGGAAACTAGCTGTTTCATAGCTAGTAAAAGCTAGTGAGTTGGAGTCAAACATCTATGCTAGCTATTTTGATAGGGAATTATGATCTGCTACAATCCTCTCTTGGCTTGCCCTGTGATCTTCTGAGTCTTGCTTTTAGCTGCTTGGTGAGCTTCCGGTACTCTGGGCTCGGCTACTTTGTGTGACATTAGAAATCTCTTGGCATACTAGGCTAATACATAGATTACTCTTGTCTTTGGAGCAATAGCATAGGCCTTTGTCAAAAAACTTTTTTCAGTGGGAAGTCTTGCACTTATCACTTTATTGTGTAACATCCTCACTGTGCTTTCTGAATCGATACCTAACTTCACCTGCCCCTGAACTGTAGCCAGTTATGGGGTGTAGTTGCTGCTGTTCTATTGCATCAACATTTTGGATGAAAGGGACAACATCCATTTGAAACAGGAAGTGTTGGAATTAGGCCAGGACACCACTGGTAACAAGCCTTGTCTTAAGTCCCTTGGTATCTTAAATGACCAGAAGTGGTCTGGGTCTTGACCGTTCTAGGAAGCAACTTTTTTGCCACTGGTTCGCTACTGGTGAAGGGGGAGGAGGATGGAGACGGCTCTGCCACACTGACAGCAAAGTACTCCACGCTATTCTTATACTAATAGCCAGTTTGTATCCATCAGGTGGTCTAACATTTGCCAGTCAGTGAATGACAATCTCAGCAGATCCCCTTCACAAAGATGTAGTAGCCACTACTTACCCACCACACATTCCACTTTTGATTTGATATTTTGCATTTCCAGTAACTAACTTGCTTCAGAGGGGATACCAATACCAGACTCCTTACCAAGGCTGCTCTTACACTATTCCTGCCCCTGTTCTCTAGAGATGGGCACATGGGGCCCAGGCACCTTTATGTCTGTAACTACTGAGTAAGCCTCACATTAAATGCATTCATATTAACATGAAGAATTCCTGAGCCAAAAGGTAGGATACCTCACCATCTGGTGGAGTTCAGGCTTGATGGAATAAGCTGAGACACCAGCAAGAGAGAGCATTCTATTATTCTCTGTAACATGAGCCATTTAAAGCTTTATTCATCACATGCCAGGACTTCAGAAGTGTGCCTTTCACACTTGGAAAGCATAATACAAATAGCAGGCTCACCATATACAGCTCTGATTATGGAACAGGCAACCCTACCAAGTACTAAGCAGGAGAGATGCTGACGTTTTCTTATGGAGCAAAAATGTCTTGCTCATAAGCCACAGTTAACGAATCTTTACTGGTGTCTGGCTGACCTTGGGCACTGCTTTCAAAACAAGAGTAGGTAAAACAATGGAGTGCTTTTGTCACCGCTTCCTTGGGCAATCTTGGAGTAATCTTTGAAGAACTAAGCAAAGGAGGACTTGTGGCACCTTAGAGACTAACCAATTTATTTGAGCATAAGCTTTCGTGAGCTACAGCTCACTTCATCAGATGCACATGGTGGAAAATACAGAAGATGTAATACATACAAACCATGAAAAAATAGGTGTTTACCACTACAAAAGGTTTTCTCTCCCCCCACCCCACTCTCCTGCTGGTAATAGCTTATTTATTTGAGCATAAGCTTTTGTGGAGAACTAACACCAGCTGCATCCTGGTGGTGCTCTTCCTTCTGATGGATTACTGAGTTGGGGCACAAGCAGAGTCTGCTGCCACTTTCTGATGACAGATACAACTGTGACCCTAATTAGCTGTGGCCATTAAAAATGTATTAATAGTATTGCTGTAGCAACTAGAGGCCCAAATGGAGACTGGGCCTCTATGCTAGGCATCACACAATAAAAAGATGTGCTTGTTTTTTAACCCTGGGGTTCTGCTGAAAATTCTGGGACCGATTCAGTCCCCTATTAAGTGCCCTTCATGCTGCTCTAGCGATGTAGACAAGTTGCTGCATGTGGCTTTGTGCCATTCCTGCTGTGTGGATGGAGTGCTTGACCATTAATCTTTTCAGTGGCTTAGAGCAGCTGGCAGTTGGGGGTAAGATACTCTAAATTACACTGGGGAACAAGTTGGCCTCTCAAGATCAGGATATGGGTGGCATAAAGGTGACTTAGTCACCTTTGGCCCAGCTCCTGGTTTGTGCCTCCTGAAGGTCGCAGCATAGAATCTGTCTCTTCTGCCTAATTTTCCTTATTTGAAGTAATTTTTTGCTTCCTGGCCCAAACTATTGGGTGTGCTGTGTATCTCAGTGACCGATATTAATTTATATTACCCCACCTGATTAAAGCCCATTGTGCTGTGTGCTGTACAAACACTGAGTAAGAGACAGTCCCTGACCAAAGTTCACAATCTAAATGGGTAAGAGAGGAAGTAGCAGTATCCCCATGTTACAGAGGGGAAAAGGAAAGTGAGCCAGAGAAAGATTAAGTGATTATTTTATATAAGCTATTGAGAGCCTTTTAAACAGCTGTGTAGATTTAAGAGTGTTACTGCCATCCTCACAGGCAGTCCTAGCCAGGACTCTGAGAATAGCCTTCTGTATGGTTGCACTGGAGGGAATAGACAAGAAGTGCCAGTAGGGAACTCCATCTGCACTAGGACCCAGGAGCCTTTCTCCTCTCTGAAGGCTAGGCGGCTTCTGTAAGACACCCCAAAAGCTGTTGAACCAATCATTCACAACTGGGACCAGTGATGGGCAAGTCTAGCAGTAGACTCCTATGGGAGGAGTTTGGGCTGCAGAGAGGCTTAGGGACTCAGTTCCCAGCTGTCTGGAGAATGACAGTGTGTGGAATTACGTCACCCCCAACGTCTCTCAGTAGCTGACTCAGAGTGGCTTTCATGGCTGATAAGAGCAATAACCCACCCTCCCAGCAAGCAAGGAGACTGCTGTGCACCATCTGCAGAATGGGAGACAGACTAAGCATGGATGGAAAATCCTGAGCCACCTCTGGTATCCTCGTCCCTGCTTCTAGGAGTGGAGAAGTTTGTTGCTGTATAACCTTGGGCTAGAGGGCAGGGTCTGTGCTGGATGGCTGAAGCCTGCAGATAAGCTGTGGTTAGTGTAGTGTCGCATCATTTTCTGCTCAGATTTTTCCTAGGCTACCTTAGATGGATCTTTGAGAAACGTTAGCTTCTGACTTTTAACCAAACCGATGAATGAGATGCTGCTGGCTTCTACTGCCTCCTCTGCCATAGCATTCATGGTTAATTAAAACACCTTAGCACAGCTTTGAACTGTTCCCTGCATATTAAAATCCTTACTCGTTTCCCAACAGACCCTGCATTTCTGCTGCTGCCTGATGTCATCCCCTTCCCTGCCTCCCACAAGGAAACAGCAGCCCTAGCTCTGCAGTGCACATGGCAGCAGAGGTTTATAGCTATTCCCACTTTTCTGAAATGACTTTAAAGGGGGAGTGAAGTACAAATGCCTGCCCACATTTTAGGGCAAAGTCCTTTATCCAGGCTGTTTAACAGAATCAGGGACAGAAAGAGGGCATTGAGTCAGCATGAGAGCTGCAGCTGAAACCAGTGT